GACCCATTGGACTGTATGGGTGTCTACGCCACAGTCCCCCAGCTTCCTAATGAGAATGGGGTGAGAGACAGTATCAAAAGCCTTCCTGAAGTCTAGGAAAACTATATCCACTGCCACCCCTGCATCCAATGATTTAGTGACCTGGTCGTAAAAGGCCACCAGGTTGGTCTGACAGGATGTGAGAGGCTGTTGAAGTCAGTAATTGCCAAATGCATCAGAGAAGACTCGATTAACTGTAATTCCAGAGCAATGGAGCAGCCTCCCTGCTTATGCACCCTTATTTCCTTTCTAGCCTCCTATTGTGAGATGTTCATCCTTTAATGTAGTGGATTTTTTTCAAGCTGAATTCTTCCATGTTGGCTGTGTACCAAAAGGCCCCCAAATTCATTTTTGAAAGTGTGAAGAAATTGCAGGTTAATTTTTGAAAACAGAATTTCTTGTAAGGGAGAGCTGTCTCAGAACCTTCACTTACCTGTTCATTTGTCCTTCAAAGGGAAAACATTAAAGAAGTTCAAATAGGTGTTGTACCTTTTTACCCCTTAAATGTATGTTAAAAATAAGTCACAAAGTTGGGAGGGAAATCCTTGGGGTTAAGACCAACCATCTCCAGAGGACAATGGGATGTTCTTGCAGAAGCAGGCAAGGGATTCTTACTCACCACTGCTGCAGCATGGCTCTGGGGGAAGACTGTAGTGCAATGAGGTGTGTCCAGGCAAGGACATAAGCTATGGGCTTTGCTAGAAGGGCCTACACCAACTTATGCTACCTTTTAAAAAGTCAGGTACAAGCTCTGCAGCTGGGGAGATAAAAGCAAGGTTGCTTCCATAAGGTGGGAAATCAAGTTCTTCCCTTGGACAAAGTATCTAATACAAAGATTTGGTGCATTAGGATGTTAATGACAGTCCATCCCACCATCCTTCTCCCCCATGATGCCATAGAAAGACCAAGATAATTAAATCCTTAGGTAATCTAGAGATGAAGATCTTGATTTAAATACCTAGTAGCAAGGATAAACGTAGGATTAGACTTGAAATTTATTGCACTTCGGCAATAGCTTGTCATACCTATCAAAACTTACTGAAATAAACTGAAAATCAACTGAATTTTTGTCTTATCCTATCATCCTCTTGTAAAAGATGTTGATAGGATCTTACAATATTCAGTTAGTTTTTAATACTTTGTGCCCCGGAAAAAGGAAAGGAAAGGTTTAAATTTCTTGATGTTCTAACTCAGATTTATGTTAGGTTATTATGGATTTATTTTCAGCTTAGTTTCACAATTCCATATAGGTTGTGATAGTATCTACATTTCATACACATGTGTTTGTGCTTTTTGACAGATACTTGTTCCTAAGTATTGGGTAAGCGGGTGTCCTCATCTGCCAGTTCTGCATGTTCAGCTGTGGTGTGGACACACTGGAGGCAAGCTGGGAAGTGAGCCTTCAATGTTGTTTGAATGTGTTTTTTGTGGTTCACTTCAGATGAGTATCCATGATTTTCTCGTCTTCCTTCAAGGGTATCTGATAGGAGGTGATGTGCTGAGGTTATTGCATGGTCATATGGATGAATGCTTGACTGTTCCATCAGGGGAGCATGGAGAAGAACTGCGAAGGTAAGTCTTTGATCCTAGAATGGATACAAGAATGACAAGTTTTATTAAATTAAATTTGATTGTTGCTGCTATAACAGTATTTTATAACCGTAAACTGATACCGGTATCACTTATCTTGCAAAGAGATCCTATTGGGATCCACTTTTGGTATGAACTAACAGCGTCCTTTGCATTTTTCTTTTCCAGTTGTATTAAACTTGCTTCCTTTGCAGGTGCAAACACAATAAACTAGAGTCCTGGACTTCATTCAGAAATATCAAGCAAACTTGCCTGAAATACCAGGGGAACACAGAACAAAAATTGAGTGATTTAGCATCCTTTATATTTATGACTTTGAGTCATCTCTTTACTTGTGTGCTTACCTCGATACCAAATCTGGGAATATAAATACTCAAATTCTATTGTGCTAACATTGAGCTACAGTGGTGTAATGAGTGACAGAAATAACTTCCTGTTTTATTGGGTCTGTTTTTTTAACATCTGCAGAGATCTGTAGATAAACTTTGTCAGTTATTTCACTGCCAATCTATTTTGTAGGTGTACACAGTACTTCGGGAGATGGCAGAGTAAGATTGTACAAGAAGTCATAGAATCTTCTAAGAGGAAACCCAGGATACAGCAGAAAGTGATAACGGTGGTTCAGCATGTGACTCTTCCCTCTGAGTCGCTACTTAACCAACGTACTCCACACCAGTTTGCTCCTCATGTAGTGCTTGTATGCAGACAAGGACAGAGATTACGCAGAACAATTAGTGTATAATTAAAGACTATTATAAACTCTGTTCTGTTGTAACATGGGCTCATGTTACATGAATAACACTGAGAATCACTGTTTACGTAATTTGATGAACACCCTATGTTAGACTTTTGTAATTTCCTATAGGTCTGTTCGTAGAATGCATAAAACCCTTTCCCGTTTTGAAGATCTCTTATTGGCTTCCTTTTTTCAGTTTTACTCCTAAAATGTCACATAAAGTTACTTTCTATGTTACAGCTTTAGATATCAGTACTTTATACCTCACATTTTTTCTCTTTAGGAAATAAAATTTCTACTTATTTCTTATTATGGAGTAAAATTTTTTATCCGGACCTCTGAAAGGATGATGCACTAATCTGTGGGTGACTTGCTGTGGATCCTACGTTCCTTTTTTGAAAACTTTAAGTACTTTATTTGCCATGTGGCATTTAGTTACTGACAAGGCTATAACTAGAAAGCTCTGGAAAATGTCAAGATCCACTATTTGTGGTTACCTTCATTCTCATATATTTAATTTCTCCAGATTTTGTATGGAAGGTATGTACAAGAGCTTGACAAGAGAGCTGATTGATTTGCATGTTATCTTTTCATGCAGTTTTTTTTATGGGTGGCAGATTTTAGTTATAATGTTAAAATTGGATGTGTTTCAGGAAGTCTTCAAAAGCAGGTCATCTCAGCAAAATGACAGGGTAAAATGGTATTAGTATTCTTATCTACCAATTTCTGTATCTCACTTTCTCAGATTGCAAGTAAAACTATATTTTTCTCTGAAACCTTTTTTTCAAATAGGCAGAAGATTAGACAGTGCTAAAATACAAGTTTTGTGGGATATAGTTGCCTTCGACCAAATCACTTAAGTATGAGGGTTCCACACTAGACAGCTTTTTAAAATGGGACATTTGTGACATGGTTATAGGAATTTAACTGTAGTAGGTTTCTAAAGCTTACCACAAAATTATAACAGAAGCAACCTGCATGTTGTGTGATGTTCTCTCTGGCCAGGAGCCAGATGCTTAGGCATGCTCCTGAGAGTGGCAGTGAGTATAGCCAGTAAAATGCTAATGACAACCACAATGTTTTTCAGCACTGAGCACATGTAGCACAAGAGCTATTGTTTGGACATTGCAATGCAAATAATAAACAGCAGCAGTAATATATTAAGTCAGTAGTGCTCAACATCCAGCTGTGGGCTAAATCCAGCCTGCGACGCTCCCTCCAGGTCTAGAAATCTGGTGTCATGGGAGCATTGGCAGCATAAGTTGTCATGAGTTCCAGAGATCCTGGGAAGTTTGGTACAGTAGTATGCATAATCTTATTTATTTATTAGATTGACTGCCCTTCCCAAAAAGGGCTCTGAGCTGTTTATAATAAAAGACAAAATAACTTATAAAAATCAGAATAAAATATTCATAGGTTCATAAAAGAAATAGAATCTACTGAATTTATTAAAGCCATAGATTCATAGAATTATTAAAATAAGATAGTATAATAAGAGAAACTTCTCCAAATACCCCAACATTTTTTGTTAAAAAGTCCACCCTACCATCCCCACTCTGCCCCCCCTTTTCACTTGGGAGAATGTCCCTGCTGCCCAACCTAGCCTCACTTTCCAACTTAAATTTAGGGACTTACCTAAATTGTGGCAGGAGTATGTTGCACAGCGGCACCTTTAATTTTGCTCTTTTTGCCATGACCCTCCCCGCAGCATTAGTTGCATTTCAGCTACTCAGAGGTTGTGGAGGAGGTTCATGGTAAAAAGAGTGAGATTAATGTCCCTCCCATGCCTGTGCCTCTCTCTCTTATATGAAGTCATGGCACTTTTCACCTCCCCCTCACTCCGCGCTGCCTCCCAGACCAAACATATTCAAATCAAATATTTGTAACAAGAAATACAATAAATTATACTATCCCCACTGAAAGGTCGCCTTCAGTGGTGCCCGCCTTGGGCACCTGCCCTAGGGAAGTCTGTAGTCCTTTATAAAATCAGCAAGCTTCCTTTCCAGCACAGGTGGTCATGTGTTCTGGCCCTTTTGTGTTCTGGGCTTGACTTTTAGAGCAAAGAGTCAATGACATCAGCTTCCCTTACTGAGCTGAAACAGTTCTGAAAAACAGGCAGCTTCACGAGTAGGGGCTAATACTATAATCTAAGCCTCTTGATTTGGACTGAACACTTAGCTCCTCTGATTTCCCCTGTGTTCTCAGGGAGCTGTGTTGTCTTGGGGCAGCAGGTGTTGGTATAGAAACACTGCTTTTGAGAAGATGGCCCCAGCTTCAGTAGGTGTTAGTTTATCCACAGAGACCTTGACACCTTTGCAGAAGTTAAGGGCCTGGACTAGTGAGGTGCAATTGCATAAATTACCAAAGAAAAAGAACACATTGTCATGCTGATTTTTATCCTTCCATATGGTGCTGTCACTATCACTGCTGGGAGATGGCTGTATTATTCTTGGGTAGTATATGTGTCTCATTAGAAATTGTTCAAAACTACATTGAAATATTTATGGAATGGAAGAACACTCTCAGAAAGCTGATTTAAGAGTTTTGACAATTCTGAATAATTCAGATAATAAAACCCAATGCAATAAAGTTGGAGTGTATTGCTTGGAGTGGTATTTTTGTACATGAGCCAAGTGAAATAAGTGCCTATAAAACACATTTAATAGCCTTAATAATTAGTCATAGAAAATAAGTCAACAGGCTAGTTTGCCTCAATCCATCCAAAAGATGAGCATCTCCTCAGAAGTAGTCTTAAGCAGACTCATCTTGAACTGTTAAACCTGCCTTGGCTTGTAATTAACAACATAGTAGCTTGGAATAGAAAGGATGGAAAGAATGATTTATATCATCATATTTTTATACTGAAGTGAGACTGACATATTGTCATATTGCCTCTAAAATATGGAAGTGTAGGCTAGACTGTACCAAATACTGAGCTCTGACTCTCATCTAGTAGACATACGTTTAACTTTAAACACACATTGTCCAACTGACGCCAGTGGGACTTCAGTCCACCTTATGTACTTACGTTAAAACATGCATTTTTTAAGTGTTCTTACTATTCATAAGTGGATTTCCTAATTTTTTTGTGGGGGAGATCTAAATCTAGAGTATGTATCCACATCTTTCTTTTGCAACTTAAATAATGTGTTAATAACTATTTATTAAGTATATTTTTGGATAACTGTCCTTAATAGTCTACCACAGAAGATATTGGTGTCTGCTTGTATTTTAAGTGGCTTGAAAGGGTCTCTGTAAGAGGGGGCAAACTCGGGGCCCATTCTCATGCTGGCCCACCTACCTGTTTCTATGGGCAACCTGCTCAGTCTCTCCTGCCATGACTTTGTTGTTTCTATAAACTGTTGGTATAGTGTGGGAGACTGCCCATTACTACCCGGATGCCAGGGGGAACCATCTGTAGCTCCGTTCCTCCCATACACTGCAGCCCAAGCCTCGCAGATGGCATCTAGGTGACACAATGCTCTTGGCCCCTAACTCTGGCCTCTCTCATTAGAATCCATGCCCCTCACTCATACTTGGCTCCTTGCCCCACACACAGATAGTCAGGGCTCCTAGCCTCTGGGCTCCTTGCTTCTTGCTAGGCTCCATGCCCCTTACATACTCTGGGCTTCTAGCTTTTGGACTTCTCGTGTCTCACTAGGCTCTATGCCCCTTGTTAGGCTCCACGCTCCTTACCCCTCATTTACTCTGACTAGCAGCAACAGACTGCTGACTTTATGAACTAGGTTCACAAAATGGCTGCCACCATCAGGTACCTACTGGATGCCTGACCCAGCCCTTAAAGTGGCAGGCACCAGCAGTGCCCTGCCAGTCTCTATGTGGTGTTTAGTTTTTTTCCTATTGAAATGGTGACAGTGAATTTTTTGTTCTATGTTAGAGTTGCAAGGTTTCATTTTTGAATTTACATTGTTATCAAAGGCAAGTCTAAAATTATTGTAATTAGAGTGCATGTAGAATTGTGGAGAAAGAATGACTGAACTCTTAGTGAGATGTAACTTAAAAGTGTTCATTCCTTTTAATTAACATTTAAATTTGAAATAGTAAGTTAGGACTGTACGGCTTAAATCAAGTGTCAGGAAATAAAACTATAAAGATTCCTCTAGTAATACTTATTCAGTCACACTACAGATGTTCCTTTTTTGGTTCACTGTAAAAATTAATATGATTTATCTTAATTATAATAAAGTAGATCATAAAATGTACAATGTGACCATGTTAATGCCGT